TAGCCCGCAAGCGAACTATACCGACCGAGCGACCACCGCTTTTCGGCGAAGTGCGCTTGTTTAAAAAGAAAAAAAAAACCCTTCATGAACGGCAGAACTCTTGAAATGCCTACTCCGGCCCTTTGCTGTACAGTCTGCCCGACCCTGCACTAGGGCCTGCCTACTGAAGGCCGCTGAGGCCCACGGAACCTCGGCAGGGCGTGAAATGATGGCTGCTGGACCCAGACGCTGTCCCGCGTGGCCACATCTGCAGCAGCCTACCTTGGATTCTGTTGATTTGGCGCTGTCTGGTACTTCGGCAAAGTCTGTCTCCGAAACCGAACTTTCAGACGGTGGCCTACAGCGGCCTGAGAACGCGCTGAAGATGCATTTAGGCCAGATGAAATTCAGGAAATCACTCGGTCCCGTTGTTTTGCTCATGGGATGGCGTAAAGTGGCGCCCAGAGTCACATGCATTTCCGACGTCAGTTTCAGTGGTGACGTGTGCAACAGGCGCAGAGAGAGAGCAATGCCGTGAGTGCAACAAGGACAATGACTGCCGCTACATGCACGACATCTTGCGACAGACGGCTAAATATAACTCTCACCGCATGCATTATGTTAGTTGCCGTGTCCTGTAGAACGGTTGAACGGGGTTTCATGAAATTTGATTTCGGCTTAAAAGGTAAAGTTTTCCTTGTGCTTAATTAAATGGAAGGCCATCTTGATGTATGGGGGAGTGAAGGTATAGTTCCACGCAGTCTTAGCACCGGCAGTGGATAAGAGGCTGGGTGGGACCCAGAGACGGTCTGGACGCTGCGGAGTAGAGACAGATTTCTTATCCCTACTAGGAATCGATCCGACACTCCACTCTCCATCTTGTAACCGTGCGGCCTGGGTTTTACTAAAACTTCTCGACACAGCTCGGATAACAACAACAGCAACAACGGACACTTTACACTAGGGCCCACACGCGCTCCTGCGCGCACACTTTCAGCCGCTAAATGTTTATCGGACGGAAGAATGTACGGCAAGTCTTGTGTCCGACACGCCGCCTCCGCGCGACTCACGATTTACCGGACAATCAGAAGGGAACTGCTAGGCTGCTGTCCGCGGTCACTACGAAACCACTGCCTGTATCCCGGCACAAGTTCACAGACGTTTTGGAGAAACGTACTGTCTCCATTTTCAGAGTCGAAGACTAAGCCAAGCAAACAGCCCGCTCTGCTTCCTGCCTGCTTTGCTTACTCTTCGGTCGTGAAGTGCAATGCGTTCCTCCGAAACGCCGGAGAAGTGCCGGACTACAAACATCAAGTCTTCCCTCAGAGCCGCGCAAAAGTTGCCATGACGACGGCGGGATCCCCGGAACTCGCGCTGTGGCGTGGTTTCTGCCTCCTTGAATAACAAGGAAACATACAAGCCGCTGCTCGATTTCCGTGTAGTCCCAGTCACGTGTGATGACGTCAACAAGGACACACACACGTGGCCCCGCTACCGGACATGTTACACAGGAGCAGAGCGTGTGAGCTGTGTTCGCCCTCCACGGGTCAGTCCGGTCCCCTCAACTTTCCTCACAGCTTCCTTCTATTTCTATCCACTCCGTGTTAATTAGCGACGCTTTTTACTCTGCGAGTATCATTCGCTCGCTATCAGATCCTGTTCGCATGACTGCACATGCGCAGTAGAAGAAACTTATCTACCTAGCACACCTGCGTGTTCTGTTTCGTCACTGCCCTTGATTGCTGCAGAGTATTAACGAAAACCCACACTGATGCCTGATATCTTTTGTTAATTAAATCAGGAGCAGATTAGACTCGGGTAATGCTTGCTACCATTCTTGGTTCCAAAGGATCAGACCTCACACATTCTCGTTGTAACAGAAACATATAAAAGATTTGTAAGATAAAGGTGTCCCTGTGCTAAACTAATTAAGCACTACGCCATGAAGTTGTATGGGGGAGTGAATATATAGACCCATGTTTTCTTGACATCGACACTAGTTGGAGGTGAGTGGTCAGCTTCATGCTCCTGCAGCTTTACCCCCAGATAGAAGGCTGGGTGGGCCCCAGAGCCAGTCTGGACGATATGGAAAAGAGGACATTCTTGATCCTACCGAGACTCAAACTCCGACCCCTCGGTCGTCCAACCAGTGGCCAGTCGCTATCTCGGCTCCAAAGAGAAACATATACTTCACGAAATTGTACAAATAATTTCACTTCGGCGTCACAAGACACGACCTGTGTTCGTTTCGAATCAGTTGCGCTATAAAACAGGGTAACGTCCATGACACAGCAATGTTGGGTATAATCACGGCATTTCTGGCACGAGGTGCTCGGTCGAGCGAGTAGCACGCTTTCCTCGTGGTTGAGAGGTCCCAAGCCCGAATATTGGACCTCTAGCCACATGCCGACACAGTAGCTCAAACTAAACCACGTCCACTTCGTAGCAGATCCGGCGCTACTTACAGCGCTACGCCGCACCGCGCCGCGCCCTAGTTCCGCCGGAAGGTGGATCTGCCAACAGTAGTCTCACTGTCGTCAGCTGTCGCCAGTTCATCAAACAGTTTATTTAGGAAAGCTTCCTGATACCCGGGAAAGTAAAAGTAAATCTGTCTCTGTGCTCAGTTGAGCACCATTCCATGACGGCGTATGGGAGAAGGAAAGCATAGCTCCACGCATTCTTATCCTTGGCACTAGATGGAGATGAGTGCTCACCTTCACCCCCCCCCCCCCCGCATCTCTGCGCGCAATAGTGACTAAATAGGAGACTGGGCGGGCCCCAGATCCGGTATCTTTCGCCGCTGCAGGTAATGGAAATTCTGTTCTTCAGCCCGCAGCCTATTCACTGCACTGACTGAGCTACCAAGGGTTCTCGTGTTGCCTACAGTGGTGGATGCGCACACTGGCCGCCACGTTACAGGGAGGGGTCCTGGCAGCCGAAATGGCCGCTGCGTACAATTCGTATGCAAGCAGAGTTCGAGTCCGAGCTTCGCCTTGCAGTTTCTCTGTACAGCTCAGGCGGTCAGAAGCTCCATTCTCACCGCAGGAGGACAGTGGCACTGGACCGGGTTCTTCTCCGAGTTTCTTCCACTTTCCTCTGCCAGTTACCATTCCACCATTGGCCCATACGCATCGACCGCCGTCCGTCCTTCTGGGCTTTGCAATATCCCTGACCACGAAGCACAGTATCAGATCCTCGGTCTGTGAGTCTGTGCAGATTTGCTGTGAGTAGTCTAGGGCCCTAGGCTATATAGCACGGTAGGATAAACAGCGAATAGTGAATCGGAAAGAATGAGGAAGGAGGAGGGCTTAGCCTAAGTGGAGGTGCTCTCCTATATGTACTCTGTCTACTTAGATCCCGGACGTAAGTCTGAGTAAAGACAGCCGGTTTCCGGCCCGAAGTTTGAAACGAGAACCATCCGGAGTGCCATCCACCGTCAGCTCCGTCACATGACTACTCGGCGATGGCCCTACTGACTAGCAAAGGACGCGTGGGATTTACCTGGGATTTACACCCATAGATTCTCTACACGCACGTCCTCATATGAGACTGAGCCTACGAAATCGGCAGATCATTGTCGGTTACCTGGTACCGAACAAAAACATAATCCGTCCGAAGGTAAAACAGGTTTCAACAGAATCGGTACATGGGGTTTAGGCCCCATATTACGCGTTACGTTGTTCTCCTGAACATATGGCACATGTTTTGTTTAGGGAGACGGCGTCCATAAACTACCGAAACTAAGCCGTTTTTAAGACAATTGTTCTTTCGTTTTCTGGGCCGCTGGTTTTGAAGACTCGAGCAGATCTACGTCGGATGAAGCCTCAGACACCGATATGGGTGAAACTCGTTCAGCTTTCAGGCGTCACAGACACACACGTACATACACAGGCACAGACAGAGGGATTGAATTTCAAGAAACCCGTTTCCTGTTCAAGGGCGCCGCGAAAGTATAAATCCGTCAAAACTCGGAGGGGTATTCCTTTTTACTATGAGAATGTTCTCTCACGCACACAACGAGATGTCACCCCATTTCACTTCAGTTTTGCAACCATGTGTCACGAATACAGAGGGCGTAGGTCACGAACGAGCCAACAGTCTCTTCTCGTGTCTTCTGTATGAGTATGGCTGGAATGTGCCATCAGTATCACTGCAACTTGAGTATGGAATTGGTCATGCGGCGGTCTAACCGGGTCAGGCGATAAACTGGGTCACCCTAATTCGACTGAACCTGAGAGCAGTGCCATTAGGTTCCTCGCACCCACCGTCACCCATCACAACCATTAGCCAATTCACCTCTGCAACAATGCCTGCACTCCCCTCTCCTTTCACTTGAGCACAAAGTAGAGGGCGGCCCTAATCTGTGAGCACGGTTGTTTACTGCTATGTGATCTGTCCACAGTTCGAGTCCTGGGAAGGGCGGACAGAGTCCAGACCGTCTGTGGCCCACCCAACCTCCTATACAATGAGTACTGCGGGGTGTAAAGTAACCGAAGCATGAAGCTGACCACTTGTCCCCCTCCAGCGCCGAGGTTAAGAATGTGTTGAGCTATACCTCCACTCCACCATTCGTCTCCATCGCGTGGTACTTAATTAATTACGCACAGGGGTAGCTTTATTTTTACCGCTGAATGGTAGAGCTATCTTCACTTCACAGTTTTGAGCTTAATTAAGTACAGAGACAATAGCTCAAACTACGCAGTGCCCAGTGGTTAGAATGGTTACTGAATGACTAATTGGGAATGGTGTGCAAGGTAGTGGTCGTGGCCAATTTGCGGTGCCTCAGTACGGCCACTTCCACTTCGCTGGCCACGTTACGAAAATACAGCCGCACCATGACGGTTGTGCAAAGGCAGTGTAAAAATATTTACATTCTTGTGCGCAGAGGATCTGAGAGAAAGTTTCGACCTTGTGTACATCCAGCAGCTATAATGTAGAAACTTAAATGGAAGCAGCCAACCGGTTTAGCCCCCTGTAAAAGCGGCACAGCGGAGATGCCGAGGTTAGACACTGTCAGCGTCATGACGATGCCTCAGAATCCAAGCAAGGGACGGCAGTGGGCTCCCTGGCAACAGGAGCACACGAGAACTAATGGGGAGCACGTGACAGGAGGAGCTTCAAATTACGGGGGTGATCAGCTCATGGAGCATGAGATGGGCTGGGTAACATAGCGTGCCTGAGCGAGGATGAATGCAACAAAAGGTCAAGTTTTTTTAATTTCAATGTCTAAATAAAATGTAATTTATACATTGACCTCCATATTTAAAATGAAAATTTCGCGTAATATTTCTGGTACTATCAGAGCAGGAAATTAATACAATTAACGAAATTAATTAATTAATTAGGAATGGCTGATATGTGTCCGGTAACCCATTTCACTTTCCAGAGGGATTGCAGCGTCCCTTCATTGCTTCCAGAGCAAACAGAGACTGTTTCCCTGAACAGTGACAGACTGATATCTGATTGGGACCCATGATACGAGTACGTTTCCTGTGAGGTATGAACTGGGCATTATATATATAAGTGTGCACATTGCCAGGGTGTAAGCCCGGTCAGAGCTCTGACAAATTCAGAGAGAATCCGGTTATGAATGCTCCGGAGTGTTGAGTCTTCAAGGCTGAATATGAATACCAGCAGCAGCAGCTCCGTTGCCCTCGGGAAGGTGAACGTCAATAGCTCTATATACTGTATAGGGGCCACAACGCCGGTATTTCTTCCACTTGTTGCCTTCAGCAGCGCCTTTACTTCAAGGCAATTCGAAAGGTCTCGCATCAAAAAGCTGCCTCGAAGTGTATGCAGCACGTAGGATGAGAGTCATTATTTGGGAAGGCTGCTTAATTAGTGAGTACCGAGAAACCACACAAGCAACTTCATGGATCAGCGCTTTCCAAAAAGCAGCATAAAATTACAACAGACACAATAAGTGCAAGGCACTACGAGATTCAGGGCGGACGAAGTGGCACTGAACATGCTTCTTCCGTTTTCCTTTGCCCGCCTTCATTCCGCTACTGCTCCATAGCATCTAGCATCGTCTCTCCGCCCTCTGAGGTGCGTGATAGCCCTGACCACGAAGCACATTATCACATTCTCTGAGTAGGCGGCATTTAGCGTAAAGGTAAATTGCCCCTGTACTTAATTAATTAATTAATTAATTAAGCACCACGAAAGGAAGACGTGGGGGAGTGGAGGTACAGCTCCACCATTTTTTACCTCCGCACTAGATGGAGGTGAGTGGTCAGCTTTACGCCTCTGCCGCTCTACCCACGGAGAAGGGCCCACGGTGCCCAGTGGATGGAATTCTGGTTTACAGAGTGACCACTGAAGAATACAATTTGAAGGACACACATTTCTGTCCTCCACAAGGAGCAGCCTATCCTAAGAGGAATTCTGTGGATATTCTGAGAGGATATCTGCAGATAAAGCCTTCGAGTTCATAAACAAGACTGTGCTGTGGGTTGCAGAAGGTTAATTCTGCGGGAACAAATATTGAATTCGCACGCGGCTGCTCTCCGTTAGTTTACGGTACGGAAACTTGCAAGGGATGATAATTACGTTATATGCGGAACAACTTCCGGTGAAAACAATAACGAATACTTCACATGAAGTCCTACCTGCAATTCTGCGCGTATCTCGCTAAACATTTCAGACAAAAGTTGCACAGAAAAGTGGGGCACACCTTTTGAGCCCAATAAACTTTACCCAAAAGTTCTGCTGTTTCCGAGAAAATCAAACAAAAGTGAGCTGACGAGCCACAACTGTTATCCCAAACGTCCGCCTCTTTCCCAACTTGTTAAAGGCCGAACGCATGAGTTCGGATTTCAGGCTTATGCAGTGTACTGTTGACGGTTCTCCATCGTTTCGGCAAATACAGCAGCTACCATCTTCAGGGTTATCTTCTCTTTGCTTTTCTTTTCTTGAAGCACTGTCCGGGGCGTGCCATCTCTGAATCCCCACAAAGACACTGATCCTGAAGATGGCAACTGTGATATTGGCTGAAACGCTGGGAAACCCCCGAAATATTGCACGCGGCTTGTTCGTGAGGACGAGAATTACTGTGCAATGAAACCGAGAAGAAAGAGCAGATGCCCTCGATAGGTTGCGCCCTTCACTGGTGCACCGGGCGCTTACTTTCTTCTCATTTCAGGGTGATCTGATTGTTTCACACTCTCTCTTCTTCTAAAAAGCGTCGGCTTTCTACAGTAAATCCGTTGCAGGAATTTGCGCAGAAACACTTCTCAACCCGGCCCTTTCTCCGTGACACATGAAGCTCGGAATTAGCGAGCGAGCGAGCGAGCGCGGGAAACAAGACGCTACCCTTTGCGATGTGACGCCGTGGGTCCGGTACAAGTTCACTGACATTTCGGAGGAACGTCCGCTCCCTACTTTCTTTGGTCCTGAAGCTGGGGGCAATAGGTTCTTCCTAAGCGCAGGGAACCTTGTACCAGACTACACGGCCTCACACGCCAGAAGACAGGAAGTACTGTTCATACACGCCGCTGTGAGAACCTCAACACAGCGCAGTCGCAATGTACTGGCTCCTCATCCCCTGACATGCAACAAGAGAAAAATTAGGCTTATGAGATCATCACACCGTGGGCAATGCTCGGCATGAAAGTTGTGCCACGGGAGGGCAGCACAACACATTTTCAACAGTAATATGAAGACTCACGAACTTGTGAGGTGGGCGGAACATACTACCAGTTAATCTAGGGTCCTGAGATGATGAACGGCAATTTGTGTTACGTACAGTGACCGCGTGGAAACCATGCGAAACACTTTCCTTGCCTCTCGCTTGGTGTAACGGCGTCGACCCGTGAACCACACTGGAGCCAGAAATGTGAAATGTGGCCTGCAGACACACCGTAAACGTACCTACACACTACGTATGACACACTGCTTGTGAGTCAGAAATTACAAAAATGGCGACGGTACGAACCTTCGAAGTTATATCCGAAAAGTGTAACACAGAATCCGTACCTAAGCAGTTAAGTTCTTAGTAAACAAACGGCAATAGTACTGACAGCATTAGAACTATAATAAGAACGTGCTACTAACTCCTGTAATAACAAGTATGAGAACCGTTACAAAACTACGAGCCAGTGAGGGTGGAATAGGACTACGCATGCGTACTAGCTCTGTCCCGCTACTATTGCAGAAAGAAAAAGACAGATGGCACATATTGCGACTTGCGAATAATATTTTTAAGTTTCAATTTGCAGTGTCCAATTGCAGGCCAGTACTAAGGAGCTGCCTGTACGTGCTAAATGTTTTTGGCTCAGGCTGTACGTGTCAACGACAGGCAGCAGAACGTAGCTGTGACATTTCTTTTTATTGCTAGTGGGGTGGGAAGGGGGCATGCGGTAGCGTAGTGGTTGAGGGGCTATGCTACAAGCCGGAAGGTCGCGGGTTCAAGTTCCGATGAGGTCATTGGATTTTATTCAGTTGACCTAATTCTTCCAGCCGCACTAGGCCCTGGGGTTTACTCAGACCCTAAAAGAAATGAGTACCAGGAATTAATTAAATAATTTTCCTGGGGAGTAAAGAGCGGCCGGCGCGTAAGGCTGACAACCTTACCGCCATCTTTGAGCCGATTGTCTAGATAATGTGGGACCCTCAACGTCTCACAACCCTATGGGGTCTTCACAGCCTGGTACAGGGATAGTTTTACTTTTTTACTTTACTTAGTGGGACTAAGTCCCTTGTACTGCGGCCACTTCTGGCCTATTGTACCAGCCCCAGATGATAGGTGAGGGTGATTGTGGAGCAATTAGTGGAATGGAGGTTGGCAGGGGAAACCGAAGTACTCGGAGAAAACCTGCCCCAGCGCCACTTTGTCTACCACAAATCCCACTTGACCAGACCTGAGATCGAACCCGGGCCGCCGCGGTGGGAAGCCAGCGACTAACCGCTTGAGCTAGGGCGCGGCCCTAGGTTGTGACATTACTAGTGCTTCTAGATACACATCGAGTTACGTGAGTTCTAATCGGAACTCCTCGTGTGGGTCTCTGTGCCGTGAACTGTTCCCTAAACAGAACCCGGAACGCGCTAGAGGTTCCGTCTGTCATTCCAAAAATTGGGCTCCTGTGGCAGACTGGGAGTTAGGCGACGGCAGTCTGCTGCTCAACTGCGCGTGCGTGAGAACGCCGCTGGATTGTTGTCCGAGTCGTGTGCCCACCTTCGCGTCCAATAGACCTGGCCGGCGTTCGATTCCCGGTAGAGGCAAGAGATTTTCTCTTCTGCACGGAATGCAGACCGGCCCTGGGGCCCAATGGGTACCGGAGACTCTATCTGCGGAGGTAAAGCGGTAGGGGCGTGAAGCTAATCAGTCACTCCCTTCTAGTCCCGAGGCTAAGAATGGTGGAGTTAGAGATATAGCCCCATTTCCCCGCATGTCTTATGGAACGCGGATGACGTTACCTTCAACTGACAATTGTTCCTTTGCGTGACGCAAGGGCAGGCTACTGCCGTCGCTGTAAGCAAATGGCTTTGCTCGTTAGTTATGCCAAATATATCCCGGGTGAAAAACTGGTATTGCCGATACAAGAAACTGTTGACTCAGAACGACCAAACGCCCCCTTGAACAACAATGCTTACCACAACAAAGTGTTTTCGATAGACTGCGCACGCACATGTAGCATTAATGGGCAAATGACAGCAGAACACGCGTTCCGCACGGGATATTCGGCGCTTGGGCAACGCGCTGGAGAAATGCTGGTGTCTGCAAGGCGTCACTATGAGGATCATTGAATGGAGTAGGGAAGGAAGGGAGGGAAGCATACGGCATCTCCTGAAATTTGTGGCTCCCAGAACTTCCTCATGACAAGGGTTACCAGCCCCACACGTAATCACATCGGGCCGTTGCGAGCTCCGCTCCGGGCTAGCTCGAGGCAGCAACTCGTTTGGGAATTCAGGTTAGAGGAGTTGAGAAATGAAAGCTGCCCTGCTTGCTATCCAGCCAGTGGTGGTGGACGCCGTTGTCGTCGACGGCGACGCAAGAAATCCCCACCAAGACGAGCCCCCTCCTCACCACGAGCAGAAGTAACAGTAACACATGGGCTGGCAGTGTACAGCAGTGTCGGGCCCGAGGTACTGAGTCCGGAGAGCTGCTGGATCGGTCGACTGTTGCCCTGGATTCGCTGCTGCGCTCGCTCGCTTGTCGTGT